AGGAAAAATATGCAATATGAAAATAATTGAAGACAAAATGTGTTTTACTGAGAAAAAACAAGATTTGGTTTTTAAAAAGCCTTTTTCCAAAAGATACATCTGGAAAAAGGGGGGTCGTCTTATAATCAGGGTCGTCTTATATTCGGGCCAATACGGTAATTAGCGGTGCATTTTATGACCGTGTTCACGGTAAAACAGACAACTGCTGACATCCCAGACACATTTATATTGTGGTTAGTAATTAACTGATAATCCTTTATAATTTGTTATAGTTATTAAAAGGTGCACTATGCAGGATTTTCTCAAAAAATATGAATCCCAAAAAAGTATAGACTCATTTAATCTATCTATATATCTATCTTTTATTTATTTATTTTTCAATTCTTCTATTGCTGTGTTTGGGATATTTCTGAGCTGCAACCATTGGTCAGTAGATGTGTCGTCGGTAACACTTTAGAATAATGGTCCGTTGTTAACAAGTAACTATGCAGGAAGTAATAGGTAGTACTACATTAACACTTAACTTAATACTATTAACTAATAGAGAAGCAAGATTAACTAAGCAGTAAGTAGTAGCAAATTTAGGACAAAGGTAGTTACTTATTAGACTTTATTAACTGGTCATAGTTCACAAGTAGTTCTCAATGAGGATATTTTTATTTAATAATTATCAAATATCTAATAAGTAACTACCTTTGTCCTAAATTTGCTACTACTTACTGCTTAGTTAATCTTGCTTCTCTATTAGTTAATAGTATTAATTTAAGTGTTAATGTAGTACTACCTATTACTTCCTGCATAGTTACTTGTTAACAATAGACCATTATTCTAAAGTGTTACCGTGTCGTCTGTGTCTTGTATCAACGCAAACACAATTTGCTAATGTTGCTATTGTCTTATTGACTGATAACTGTAACTTGACAAATTACTAGGCATCAGGATTAAATTTTTATGATGACACATAATTATTGTTTATTAGTGAGCTAGACTGAAGATGGTTAAACTCACTCACAAATTACAGCCAGTCATCTAATTATTAGCATAACTGTTCGCTCACACACACACACACACACACACACAATGCCATTATGCATGATAAACATATGTATATATGTATATATTTGCAATGCACATCATCATTCATCTTCTCTGTCTCATGTGATGCTGCTGCTGGTTGGACTGTGTCTGTTCTGGTAACTGATGTCATGTCAGGGGCAGGGGGTGTGGCTTCTGGCAGTGTTAAGCCCGCCGATCAAGTTTGCATGCCAAGTTTGAATGTTTACAAACAGTAAACGAAAATCCTGCATAGTGCACCTTAATGAGTTTAATCTCATTAAGTAATTACCTAATATGGAACTATCTCAGTCCTAAATTCGCTATTACTTACTGATTAGTTAATCCTGTTTCTATATTAGTTAATAGTAGTAGCTGAAGCAGAATAAGTAGCTTAAGGTTGTTTTACTCACTTGTCCCGCATTACTTCCTGCATAGTTACTTATAAACTGATGAACCATTATTCGAAAGTCTTATTATTTTCTGTTTGAGAGATGAACTCCCTTTGGTGTGGAGTTTGTGTTTTGTAACTTTGCAGATCATTTACATGCACAACCAGCTATATTAGGAAAGGTCAAACCAAAAAAAGCATAATAGATGCCCTTTAATAGACAAACGTGTCATGGCCATTTAAATGAGACCAAAAATTTGGTGAGTTAAATAAATGTGCACCTCCTGCAGATCATTTGCATTAAATACAACATTTTGTGACCATCTACCCACACTCATGTAGCTCAAACTCATTCGATTTTTCCTTTACTATAGAACCAAATGTTGAAGCTGCTCTTTTCCATACAGTGAGAATACATGTCTGTCAATAGGTTTATTTTTACTTAAAATTCACAGAAATCAGATTATTCGCTGACAAGATTGTTGGTAGAGAACTGACGCTATGAGGAGGTAACAAGTGGGTACGATTATCAGACATTGCTGATAATACCGAAATGTGGCAGTATATTTATGTACCACTAGTGTGCAACTGAAAGTACATGTACGGTAAGTACCACTTTTTTTTGTCATCCTTGAGTAAAATATGTTGCAGAGTACTGATGTTTACAGCATACTGTATGAATGGTGCTTGAGACCACGTGCAGAGAGAATTATCAGTGGAACTTATCGCATTTCTGTCCCTCAGTAATATCGATCAAAACCCCTCTCTTCAGATGATCACTGCCACCCCAGGTGACCGCATACTCAACAACGAATCCTCTCTCGCTCCCCCTTCTCCTTCCTGCTCAATCCTGCCTACAGCAAAAAGCATTATAGATCTGTATCAGATCTATAATGCTTGTAATCAGCTCTAACAACACAAATCTAATTTGACAACTGCTGTTACTGAGAAAAATTGATTGGTCATGCTGCTGCTTCTCTACTTTTACCAGTCACAATAAAAATGACACCCCTTGACATTTATAAATCATTCTTTAACTGTTAAGTGCACACTAGGTGTAGCCAAAAATAACATACGCAGAGAGGAAATGCTAATGGCTGAGTACCGCAGACTATTTTTTACGCTGAATGCTCAAGTCAACATTCTGCAGGCATATCAGAGAACGGTTCAGAACAACATCTGTCCAGAAAATGTCAAATTAGCTCAAGGGCATGGGACATTTGTACGAGAAACACTGATTTCCCCCCACAGGGTAATAATTTTCTCAGTTAGACTGCCAGATTTTCTCAGCGAAAAAAAATGAAATTGTTTGGTGAGTGGATTTTGATGTATTTCCTATTAGGTCTGGTTTGACAATATAAATTAATAGATTTGAATCGATCCTCTTTTTAACAATCACAATATTGTTTCTTAAATATTCAGTATTGTAACTTTTTATATGAGTCTGTCAAATTCAAATTCTGTCAATTTTATTATAAAATAACTTATTAGTTATTGAATGAATGAATGAATGAATGAATTGATGTGCAATTTGAATGTTTGAATATATATACGTGTGTGTGTGTGTGTGTGTGTGTGTTATAAATTGCAATTGAATTTAATTTGGTCATTTTAAATACCAACTGGCAGGGTTCCCTGTAGTTCAGTGTAGTTCCCTCTATTGTAACTGATATATCCAAATGAATTGATAGCAAATCGAGTCAAGATCAGAATCAAATTTAATTGAATCTGTGGAAATACCCAGCCTTATTTCTGATATTGAAACAGGAAGTTAGGGAGGAACACATTGAAGGGCTCATTTCTTTTTTAAAATAGCCAATATTTTATGCC